GCTGTGCAAAAATTTTGAAGTTTCATTAGGTCCCATTTGTTAATTTTTGCTTTTATTTCCATTACTCTACGAGGTGGATCAAAAAAGATCTTGCTGCGATTTATGTCAAGGAGTGTTCTTCCTCTAAGAGTTTTATAGTGTCCGGTCTTACATTTAGGTCTCTAATCCATTTTGAGTTTATTTTTGTGTATGGTGTTAGGGAGTGTTCTAATTTCATCCTTTTACATGTAGCTATCCAGTTTTCCCAGCACAACTTATTGAAGAGACTGTCTTTTCTCCATTGTATACCCTTGCCTCCTTTGTCATAGATTAGTTGACCATAGGTGCGTGGGTTTATCTCTGGGCTTTCTATCTTCCATTGATCTATGTTTCTGTTTTTGTGCCAGTACCACATTGTCTTGATTCCTGTAGCTTTGTAGTATAGCCTGAAGTCAGGGAGTCTGATTCCTCCCGCTCCATTTTTCTCCCTCAGGACTGCTTTGGCTATTTGGGATCTTTTGTGTCTCCATACAAATTTTAAGATTTTTTGTTCTAGTTCCATAAAAAATGCCATTGCTAATTTGATAGGGATTGCATTGAATCTGTAGATTGCTTTGGGTAGTAGAGTCATTTTCACAATATTGATTCTTCCAATCCAAGAACATGGTATATCTCTCCATCTGTTGGTATCATCTTCAATTTCTTTCATCAGTGTCTTATAGTTTTCTGCATACAGGTCTTTTGTCTCCCTAGGTAGTTTTATTCCTAAGTATTTTATTCTTTTTGTTGCAGTGGTAAATGGGAGTGCTTCCTTAATTTCTCTTTCAGATTTTACATCATTAGTGTATCGGAATGCAAGAATTTCTGTGCATTAATTTTGTATCCTGCAGCTTTACCAAATTCATTGATTAGCTTTAGTAGTTTTCTGGTAGCATCTTTAGGGTTCTCTATAGTATCATGTCATCTGCCAACAGTGACAGTTTTACTTCTTTGTTTCCAATTTGTATTCATTTTATTTCTCTTGCTTCTCTGATTGTTGTGGCTAGGACTTGCAAGCTATGTTGAATAATAGTGGAGAGAGTGGACATCCTTATCTTGTTCCTGATCTTAGAGGAAATGCTTTCAGTTTTTTACCATTGAGAATGATGTTTGCTGTGGGTTTGTCATATATGGCCTAATTATGCTGAGGTAGGTTCCCTCTCTGCCCACTTTTTGGAGAGTTTTCGTCATAAATGGGTGTTGAATTTTGTCAAAAGCTTTTTCTGCATCTATTGAGATGATCATATGGTTTTTATTCTTCAATGGTGTATCACATTGATTGATTTGCATATATTGAGGAATCCTTGTATCCCTGGGATAAATCCTACTTGATCATGGTGTATGATCCTTTTAATGTGTTGTTGGATTCTGTTTGCTAGTATTTTGTTGAGGATTTTTGCATCTATATTCATCAGTGATATTGGTCTGTAATTTTCTTTTTTTGTAGTATCTTTGTCTGGTTTTGGTATCAGGGTGATGGTGGCCGCATAGAATGAGTTTGGGAGTGTTCCTTCCTCTGCAATTTTTTGGAAGAGTTTCAGAAGGATAGGTGTTAGCTCTTCTCTAAATGTTTGATAGAATTCACCTGTGAAACCATCTGGTCCTGGACTTTTGTTTGTTTGGAAGATTTTTAATCACAGTTTCAATTCATTACTTGTGATTGGTCTGTTCATATTTTCTATTTCTTCCTGGTTCAGCCTTGGAAGGTTATACCTTTGTAAGAATTTGTCCATATCTTCCAGGTTGTCCATTTTATTGGTATAGAGTTGCTTGTAGTAGTCTCTTAGGATGCTTTGTATTTCTACAGTGTCTGTTTTAGCTTCTCCTTTTTCATTTCTAATTTTATTGATTTGAGTCCTCTCCTCTTTTTCTTGATGAGTCTGGCTAATGGTTTATCAATTTTGTTTATCTTCTCAAAGAACCAGCTTTTAATTTTATTGATCTTTGCTATTTTTTTCTTTGTTTCTGTTTCATTTACTTCTGCTCTGATCTTTATGATTTCTTTCCTTCTGCTAAATTTCGGTTTTGTTTGTTCTTCTTTCTCTAGTTCCTTTAGGTGTAAGGTTAGGTTGTTTATTTGAGATTTTCTTGTTTCTTGAGGTAGGCTTGTATTGCTATAAACTTCCCTCTTAGAACTGGTTTTGCTGCATCCCATAGGTTTTGGATTTCGTGTTTTCATTGTCATTTGTCTCTAGGTATTTTTTGTTTTCTTCTTTGATTTCTTCAGTGATCTCTTGGTTATTTAGTAATGTATTGTTTAGCTTCCATGTGTTTGTTTTATTTATGTTTTTTTTCCTGTAATTAACTTCTAATCTCATAGCGTTATAGTCAGAAAAGATGCTTGATATGATTTTAATTTTCTTATATTTACTGAGGCTTGATCTGTGACCCAAGATGTAATCTATCCTGGAGAACGTTTTGTGCACACTTGAGAAGAAAGTGTAATCTGCTGTTTTTGGATGGAATGTCCTATAAATATCAATTAAATCTACCTGGTCTATTGTGTCATTTAAAGCTTGTGCTTCCTTATTAATTTTCTGTCTGGATGATCTGCCCATTGAGTGAGGTGTTAAAGTCCCCCATTATTACTGTGTTTCTGTCGATTTCCTCTTTTCTAGCTGTTAGCAGTTGCCTTATGTACTGAGGTGCTCCTATGTTGGGTGTATTTATATTTATAATTGTTATATCTTCTCCTTGGATTGATCCCTTGATCATTATGTAGTTTCCTTCCTTGTCTCTTGTAACATTCTTTATTTTAACATCTAGTTTTTCTGATATGAGTATTGCCACTCCAGCTTTCTTTTGGTTTCCATTTGCATGGAATATCTTTTTCCATCCCCACACTTTCAGTCTGTATGTGTCCCTAGGTCTGAAATGGGTCACTTGTAGACAGCATATATGTGGGTCTTGTTTTTGTATCCATTCAGGCAGCCTGTGTCTTTTGGTTGGAGCATTTAATCCATTCACATTTATCTTAATTATTGATATGTATGTTCCTGTGACCATTTTCTTAATTGTTTTGGGTTTGTTTTTGTAGGTCCTTTTCTTCTCTTGTGTTTCCCACTTAGAGAAGTTCCTTTAGCATTTGTTGTAGAGCTGGTTTGGTGGTGCTGAATTCTCTTAGCTTTTGCTTGTCTGTAAAGCTTTTGATTCCTCCATCAAATCTGAATGAGATTCTTTCCAGGTGGAGTAATCTTGGTTGTAGGTTCTTCCCTTTCATTACTTTAAGTATATCATGCCACTGCCTTCTGGCTTGTAGAGTTTCTGCTGAGAAATCAGCTGTTAACCTTATGGGAGTTCCCTTGTATGTATTTTTTTTTCTTTTTTTTCCTTTTTTTGCAGTACGCGGGCCTCTCACTGTTGTGACCTTTCCCGTTGTGGAGCACAGGCTCCGGATGTGCTGCAGGCTCAGCGGCCATGGCTCATGGGCCCAGCCGCTCCGCGGTATGTGGGATCTTCCCGGGCCGGGGCACGAACCCGTGTCCCCTGCATCGGCAGGCGGACTCTCAACCACTGCGCCACCAGGGAAGCCCCACTTGTCTGTTTTTTGTCTTTTTTCCCTTGCTGCTTTCAGTAATTTTTCTTTGTCTTTAACTTTTGCCTATTTGATTACTGTGTGTCTCGGCATGTTTCTCCTTGGGTTTATCCTGTATGGGACTCTCTGCACTTCCTAGACTTGGGTGGTTATTTCCTTTCCCATGTTGGGGAAGTTTTTGACTAGAATATCTTCAGATATTTTCTTCGGTCCTTTCTCTCTCTCTTCTCCTTCTGGGACCCCTATAATGCGAATGTTGTTGCATTTAATGTTGTCCCAAAGCTCTCTTAGGCTGTCTTCATTTCTTTTCATTCTTTTTTCTTTATTCTCTTCCACAGCAGTGAATTCCACCACTCTGTCTTCCAGGTCACTTATCCATTCCTCTGCCTCAGTTATTCTGCTTTTGATTCCTTCTAGTGTAGTTTTCATTTCAGTTATTTTATTGTTCATCTCTACTTGTTTGTTCTTTAATTCTGCTGGGTCTTTGTTAAACATTTCTTGCATCTTCTTGATCTTTGCCTCCATTCTTTTTCCTAGGTCCTGGATCATCTTCACTATCATTATTCTGAATTGTTTTTCTGGGGTTTTATCTTGTTCCTTCATCTGGTACATAGCCCTCTGCCTTTTCATCTTGTCTATCTTTCGTGAATGTGGTTTTTGTTCCACAGGCTGCAGGATTGTAGTTCTTCTTGCTTCTGCTGTCTGCCCTCTGGTGTTTGAGGCTATCTAAGAGGCCTCTGCTAGTTTCCTGATGGGAGGGACTGGTGGTGGGTAGTGCTGGCTGTTGCTCTCTGCTAATTTGTTTTTAAAGAAACTGACACCAGTGAATTGGCAATAATTGCTTAAGCACCTGTGCTTACTTGGGACAATTGTGGTGGAATATATATCTTTAAAAGTGATATTTTAAACCACCTATAATCCTTCTACCCACTGTTAATAGTTTAGTATTTGGTATATTTCCTTCTAATACTTTTTTTTTTCTTTCACTTCTTATATACTTCTTTTTTAGACTAACTCTTTCTAAATTGCAAAATATCTGGAAGTTTAAAAAGCAAAAACTCTTCTTTGTGTTAACCATTCCATGAATAAATAAGAAAGAGGTAGGCGAGAATTAGCAGTGCTAAATAAAAGTGCATAGATAGACCTGTTAGCAAGGTTGATTGTTGGAATGAGAATGTACATGTTTCTCTCATAAGTTACCTTAGGGGTGCTACAATGTGATTGTGTTTCCAATAAAACTTCCCTCCTTTTTTCTTCTTTATTGGATCTATACACAAATTTAATCAGAAGTATAAATCACTGCTATAAACGTATGGTATATTCTAAACATGACTCCCATGTCTACCTTTTAGATGAGAAAAATATGTATTAAAGTTAAATCTCACTGTGAGAATGAATTTCTTTGTAGAGGAAAAAAAGAGTGATTAAATGTAATCTTCCTGGTTAGGAGTAATGCGAGACAAAGGTGTTTGCTGGAGGATACCATTCCTATTTGCCAGTCGCCATGCTGTTTTGCAAGTTTTCAGAAGCAGAGGCAGCGTTGGTAAGCCATATTGCTTTACCTTCCAGGCATCTGGAGTTTGAGCTAAGAAAGAATATTATTGTCTTGCTCTTAGCCTCTCTTAAGACACCAAAGTAAGGTTGGATTTCACCTTAGCATACGCCATTTATTTATTCTCTTACTTCCTTCCTTACATTTTATCATTAACTTTGACCCAAACAATGGACGTCAGGTTCAGTTACTATACTGGCTCCATGCCAGCTCTAATGAGCCAGGAGATCCTGGCCTTCCCATCAGTCTTCATCAGTTTCAGTCTTTCTTACTGACACCTCTTGTATTTCAATATCAAATTTATTGTGCTTTTCCTTGTCATCCAATTTTCTAAATACTTCCAAACTGGGATAGATAGTTGATCTGTCTGGGTCTTGTTACTGCCGGAGCCAGTGGCTTCCCCAGTCTTGGTAATGCTCTGTCAAAACTCTGGTTTCTTCCCCATCAGTTTCTGCTTTTTCCATTCCATGTGTTTACAGCAACTGAAATATTTTCATCCTATTTTGTTTTTTCCTCTGTTGACTCCCCTTCCTTTCCTCCCTTTCTACTGAATCATTCTAATTTTCCTAGCATCAGTAAAGCCCATTGAAAGAAGTTAGAACAGTAAATCAGACATAGTTTCTTGCATTATTTCTTATCCATACCTGCCTCCCCACCACCACCCCCCAGTAACAAAGCAATATGGGAAGAACATTAGGTGTACTCTAATCACATCTCTTATGGTGGTCTGGGTCACAGGCATCTTCATTAGGAGAACATCCTGGTTACAGTAACGCCAGTCCAACACGACTTGCATTCACAGCATATCAGCTGCTGTACCAGTGGTGTTCCATTTAGTAGGGGAGTTGGGCAATTGCCTCTTTCAGGATACATACTGTGTTCTGTTGTTGCCCTTAGTCACCCCAAAACGCTAGATGTTCCCCCATCTCTAATTTTCATGCAGGCCGTCACAAACTGTGACTAGTTGGGGGTCATATGTTAACCAATACATGCCTCTTTATGCAGCTGTGTCCAGAATTAGGGAAATAGTCTGAGTCCACAATCCTGAAAAACCACTTAAGTAGTGACTCTTCTGGGAGCTACATATACTTATCAACAAAGTGCGTGAGCTCTTTAACTGTATGTCCCCCAGTTTCTGTTGTTTCATGACTTTGCCCTCTGCCAACCTGTATCACCTTCTTTGTGACCAGAGGATGAAAGGGTATAATCTGCTATATTAAACTGGAAGAATCTGAGGTCCCTTCCTTCCAAAGAACTTCCATTCCAACTTGCTTCCAATCAGTTCAAGTCTCCCAGCTTCAGCTGTGGCACAGAGAACAAGCAGAACACCTTAATCTCCAGCTCATGCTCTCCCCACTAACACAGCCCTCAACACCTGGTTTTACCTAAACTAAAGGTAACAGCCTGTGGCACACACATAGGGAAATTGTGTGTGTGTAGGGGCTGGGGGTTGTTTCTTTTCTGTTGTGTTGTTCTCCCTAATAGGTGCATATAAAAGTTATAAAGTCAATCTACCCATATCGTCTTTCTTTTTGAAAGTACAGGCAGTCATAAAACAAAACACTACCATTTAGTTTTGTAATCTTAAATTTCAAACAATGCATGGATGAATTATGTTATATTGTAGAATGTGTTTTCAGTAATGTGTAGCATACAATGGAATAAATGCATATCCATACGTGCCCTGAATTTTCTAAACTGCAGGCTAATAAACAGGGTAACCTGCATCACTTCAGCCTGGTAGAGTTCACAAGCAGGTATTTCTCCTCTCGGTTTTGGTTTCTGCATCGTGTTCTCCGGAAGTCAGCTTACTGCTTTTGCAACTGGAGCCTAGAAGGTAACATTCTTTGACTCCAAACTATCTAACAGTGCTTTTCTCTCAAGATAACCAAGGTTGAGGTCTCTAAATTTCACTTGTCATTCTGGCTTCCAGCCATATTATATAAGGCTTTAATTCATAATTAGTAAGAAGCTACAATTCCACAGAAAAGAGAACATTTTATATTAAATGACAATTATCCAACTTCATGATTTCACAAAATGATTAAGACACTAGAAAATAATTAAGATATCTTAAGTTTCCCAATACTGAAAAGTACAGGCATGGGGAGCGGGGTGGTAATTTTCTTTTTAACCTGTGTGTAGCTCTTGCTACAATGACAGAAAGAAAATAAATTCTTCTTAAAGAATTTCATTTTTATAGTTGCATAAATTATCAGATTTGCCCAAATTTTCTTTCCATATCAGAATCTCTGAGATCAGGTACGTTGCTTGCATAGTGATAGTCTTTAACCAAAACTCCCAAAGAGTAAGAACAAAAAGCCAAAAGTAGGCATCTCATAAACCTTGAGTGGTGGGTATTGTTGAAGAAGAGGATTGGATAACTGTCAGAAGGCTCTTTCTGGTAATGATAATATTTTTGTTTGAAGATTTAACTCAGGACTGACAGCCAGGAGAGAAAATCTACAGGTCCACAGTCCTTCATCCAAAATTCTTAGAGCCAAACGTATTTCAGAATTAACAAAATTTTAAGCTAACATGGTTTACATACCATATGGGATACAATATGATGTACGATTATTCACATTAAATGTAATAAACAGTAAGTATAAATAGCCTCATATCAGTTCAGGTCAGATTTTACAACCAAATAGATTTGGGTTAGGTCAGATATTGCTACCAAAAAGGTTATGAAAAAAACTTTCACTTTTCATTACTCTTAAGATTTCACGGGACTTCCCTATGGTTAAGACACTGTGCTCCCAATGCAGGGGGCCTGTGTTCAATGCCTGCTCAGGGAACTAGATCCTAGATCCCACGTGCTGTAACTAAGAGCCTGCATGCCACAACTAAAGATCCAGCATGCTGCAACTAAAGATCCTGAATGCTGCAACTAAAGATCCCGCATGCCACAGTGAAGATCCCACATGCCACAACTAAGACCCGGTGCAGCCAAATAAATTAAAAAAAAAAAAAAGATTTCACAATTACAGATAAGGATTCTGGGCCCACATCACCATTTTATTTTATTTATTCCTAGTTCAGGAATCTCCATAAAAGGCATTGTCTCTGCTTTTCTCTAACTTATATCTTCATATTGTTCTCCTAGATAAAGGCTATACAGATTTCAGGAGGAACCCATTAAGGAATTTCAAATCCAGTTGGGTTAAATATTCACCTTCAGAGACAGAGAACTGAACTAAATTGCTTTTATAATTATTGTCATATTCAAGAAATAAAAATTCATAGGGATATTTAGTGAAAATAGGCTTTCTCACACCCCAGTTTCCCAGCCAGCCAAAGCACCCTCCTTGGATGTAACCTCTCTCAGTTTCCTGTGTGTCTTTTCAGGGATAGTTATACATATACAATATTGACTATGTATATGAATCTGTGCACTGTAAAACTACCCCATTTTTTAAAATCCATACGATGTCCCATTGTATGAATGTACCACAGTGCATTTAGCCAGCCCACTAGCGAATGAATATTTGAGTTATTTTCAGTCTTTCATGATTGCAGACTATAATGCTGCAATGAATATTCCTATACATGTCATTTATAAATGTGTGAGGATATCTGTAAGATAAATTCCTAGAAATGTAATTGTGGGTCAAAGATAAATTCATTATAAATTTTGATAGATATTGCTAAATTGCTTTAATAGAGGTTGTACAACTTATGTTCCCACTTGCAATATTTGAAAGTGCCTGTTTTATTATACTTTAAAGAGTATAATCAAAAAGTTTAGTTCTTTGCCAATCTGAGAGATGAAAATGGTATCTTTTAGTTATAATTTACATTTTTCTTGTTATGAGTGAAGTTTTATATTTGAGTCATTTGTATTTTCTACAAACTATTGTTCTATTTTTTATCTATTTTTCCACTAATATGTTAGTCATTTTCTTTATGTGTGAAAAAATGTAGTTATTTTTGTAACATGTTACAAACATTTTTCCCAGCTTCTCTTTCATCTTTTAACTTGGGTTCTATGGCATTTTTTCCCATGCAGAAAACTCTCCCATACAAATTACTTTTCACGGCCCTTTCAGCTGATTCTACCTTTAATTTGTCTTCAGTCGTTTCACTCTGCATTCATTCATGTAATAGTTTGTTATGATAGCTTTAATGGCACATTTATCCAGAGTTCTTTTCTAATCTTTCTAGCTAGTCTCCCTTTCTCTGCCTATATCCTGCTTCCTAACAATACTTCAAAAAAAATAGTAATAGTAATAGCTTTCATTAATTGAGCACTTATTATATGCCAGGCATAGAGCTAAACACTTTACATACATTATCATAATTCCAAAGATAAACATTGTCTTTATCCCCAATTTAAAGGTGAGGCAACTGAAGCTTGGAAAAACTAAGCAACTTGCTCCAAATCACTTAGTTAGAAATTGGTAGAACCAGGATTCAAATACAGCATCTTTACTTTGGAGCCTGAGCTCTTACCACTACCTTGAATGAAGTGTTTTAATAAAGAATATAAATTTGGAGATATTACCAGAAATGCTATAGTAGGATTATGCTCAGCCCTATAAGGAGGTCTAAGATATTATTCTCCTTGAATAGAAAAGTCTTGGGCATGAAGATTTCCAAATTCTTCCATATTTATTCACTTTGTTATTGCCTGTTTCCCACTGGTGTCTGAAAAGCCATGCCATTTAAAATAGATAAAATAGAATTGTCATCTATTAGAAGTATATATACTCATGAATTTAGCCCATTGAATTTTTCTACTTTGCTGAAAGTCTCTAGCTACAACTTTATTTAAGTGGTAATGACTTATCAGAGTAACAGTTTCGTCAACTGGATTCACTTTTAAAAGCCCTAACACAACAGATAATATTGACTTTGTAGATCTAGAGGTTGAGATCACGAAATAGGAGTTAAACTTTTCAGCCAACATAATTTCAGTTTAACTGATACTATAGAACTAACAGCATTAAGAAGGCAGAAGAGAACCTGGAGGAACTCTTAATTTCTCC